TGCTCTTCCGATCTAAACCCTAAACCCCTAAACCCTAAACCCTAAACCCTAAACCCTAAACCCTAAACCCTAAATCCCTAAACCCTAAACCCTAAACCCTAAACCCTAAATCCCGAAGTCCCTAAATCCCTAAACCCCAAAGAGGCGCCTGGCTTCACCAGCACGATGTGCTTCGGCGCCGCGTCCGTGAGTGAAGGCAGCTGCTCGATCTTTTGGACATGGCCCTCCTGACAGTGGGTTTAGGGTTTAGGGTTGAGGGTTTAGGGTTTAGGGTTTGGGGTTTAGGGTTTAGGGTTTAGGGATTTAGGGTTTAAGGTTTTAGGGTTTAGGGTGCTGCTCCATCTTTTGGACATGGCCCTCCTGACAGAACGACGGTTTGGGCGGCGGCGTAGGGTTTAGGATTCATAGGGGTTTGGGTTTACCTGAAGCACCCCAAATTAGGGAAAATAAATGCCCAAAACCTATTAAAGGCTATTATTCTGTATATTTTTGGGGTCCATGTCCAGTTTAGAATGGCTTTATAAGAGTCTGAGGTCTCGAGCTCTTCGAAGAGTGGGACTTCCCGAAAGCAGGGAAAGAGAGACCTTCGAATGGAGTCTCGGCTGGGGTGAGGCCACAGGTATGTTATTTTCTGAAATATAGTCAGAGAAAGCAAATAATAGACATATACATATATATACATATATATATATATATATATATTACATTTTATACTCTGTATATAGCTTAGACAAAGTCAGATATACATATACATATATATGTATAGAGAGGGAGAGAGAGTATATAGGTTAAGCCGAAAACAGCGCCTGCAGCTATATGCCGACATTACAGACCAAGCACCGCCAAAACAGCCCGTAGTGGGAGCGGAGTGGGGGTTTAGGGTTTAGGGGGGAGGTTGTGTTTTTCGGGTTGAGGGCTTTCGAGCGATACCTAAAACTCCGATGCCCCGATACCAAACGCTTTTCTTGTCACAGGTATGCTTCCTCTTGACACTAGTCCGTTCTATAACCCGTAAAGAACAGCCAGCTAGCATTCTCAGTGGTACTTGCTGCTTTCCTTCTATATTACGACCCTTACGAATTCAGTTCTACTTCCGATAACAGTTGATCAGCTTCTGCCGCGGTTGAAGGAGAGGGTAGTGAAGAAACATGGTGCAGCTCTCCGAAAAACCTTTTCCAGGGCATTGTTGGAAAGAAGATGAGCTTTCCTAGAGTTAGGTGCACTTAATTCGGAGCCGGTAAAAGGCTCCTACTTTTTAGGGATGCGGTCCAAATAAAGCTTCCGTAACTTCCGCGGGAAAAATTGGACTTCCCGAATCGGCGAGGAAAAACAGGTCAGGACGGAATTACAATCAACACATAGAGAACACAACAATGCTGCTAGTGGTAGAAGCCTTAAGCCCTGAACCCTAAACCCTGAATCCACAAGAGCGCTCTCTCAAGCAAATAAGGTCAGCGAAGCGGCCGTCTGAATGGCAGTTGCGAGAAACACCTGCACGTATCCCCTTTCTCCCTCTATCGTTCTATCAGACACGCACACACACACACACACACACACACGCACACACACTTTCTCTTTCTCTCTATCTCTCTATCTCTCTATCTCTCTCAATCTGTCTGCCTGTCTATCTGTCTAACTATCTACGTATCAACGTATGTGTATGCCTGTGTGTCTATATGTGTGTGTATATATATATATACATACCTGTCTGTCTCTCTCTGTCTCTCTGCCTCTCTCTTTCTCTCGCTCTCTCGTTCTCTCTCTCTCTCTCCCTCTCTCTCTCTATCTCTTACTCTATCTCTGTGTCTATTGCTCTCTCTCTCTCTCTCTCTGTGCATCTATCTTTTTAACTACCTATCTGTCTACTTGTCAGCGCATGTGCATTGATACATATATGCATAGACATATACCTTTGCACATACATTCGACATACATATACATATACATCTACGTCTCCGTACATATATAATTATATATATGTATGTATGTATGTATGTAGGTAGGTAGGTAGGTAGGTAGGTAGGTAGGTAGGTAGGTAGGTAGGTAGGTAGGTAGGTAGGTATGTATGTATGTATATATGTATGTATTTATGTATGTATGTATGTATGTATGTATGTATGTATGTATGTATATATGTATGTATGTATGTATGTATGTATGTATGTATGTATGTATGTATGTGTGTACGGATGTTCGGTTTAGTTGTTCGTTTGTATGTATGCATGTATGTATGCATGTATATGTTGGTGCGTGAGCCATACGACTTACGAGTTTGGTTGCAGTGCTCGGATTTCGGCAGTCAAACCACTGCCACAGTCGGTGGGGCTCCGGGGCTGTAAGTTTCGCGGACTTCGGGGCCCTAGGGCTTTAGGTTCTGAGGGTATGCAGGCTGAAGGGCTTTAAGATGCTGCAAGGGCTGAACTAAGGTTCAAAGTCTTAGGGTTAAGCGCCTTAAGGTTCTAGGGTTAGAGGAAGCTACAGGCGGGCTAAGGTGCAGTCCTCGACTGCGAAACCCTCCCAAACCCCGTCCCAGACCCCCTTTGATGATTTTGTGATGATACCTTTCAGGGTTAAGGGTTTAGGGTTTAGGGTTTAGGGGCCCTAAACCCTAAACCCTAAACCCAAGACATCCCAAGAAAACAACCCTCAAGCATTCCCGAGATCTCGAACTAAAACAGAAACCCTAACTAAACCCTGAACCCTGAAGCCTGCAAGGGCTCCACACATATGATGCAGGGGCCTTAACAATTAGAATGAGGTTTTGGGCTCCTTTATAGTATAATTCCAAGAATCAGAAGGTTCCCCCCAAATAACGCAGGTAATTGTTGAGGCCACTTTTTTTAGACATCAGGGTTTGGGGTGTACCTGTAGCCCCAAAAACGTTACCGATGCAAGGAATTATAAATAGAAGCCATACTGAGGACCCCCCCCCCCCAAAAAAAAAAAAAAAAAGAGGGTAAGTTTTTCGGCTGCAGGTAGGGCCCATTAAAGTCAAAGCCTCCGAAGCCAGCAGTGCATGCACCAGCACGCAGTAGCTCGATCTTGCCATGCTACCGGCAATAACCACCGCAGCGCAGGCGATCCACTGACTATCAGAGCTTAGGATACAGCGACTCTGTCTATTGCTATGATTTTGCTTGCTATCGCTACATCTACCTGTAATTTCCCCTTGGACCCCATGACTATCCTAACGCCCTGCATTCTGTCTTGTCCTGTCTTGGTCTCTTCGGGGTCCTACAGCTCTGGCAGGTCCGGTACTCGACAGCTAGGGGTCCTGGGAAGTGAACTCGTGGGAGATTGGGGCTTAGCGGGTTCCGGGTTGAGGGTTTTAGGGTTTAGGT